CTCAAAATCTGAGAACGTCATTTTCTCAATGAACAAGAACAGTTTCGTCCTATACGATATACCAAATTCTAATGGCAAAAAATTAAGCTATATCGTTGCCTTTTATTGGAACCTTCGCAAACACTGCAAAACAGCTACTTCATACAAAATATTCAGTCAAAAGAGAATGTTTGAGAAAAATGCAACAAAAATCATTCTTCATTATCGTTTGAAAGTTTTCCGTAGTTCAAAATTCCTACTGGAATTTTGAAACTCGCCAAAATAATTTTTTTGGAACGGAGAGATCTGTACGAAAAAGAGATGAACATAACTTTAAGTAAATTCGATGAAATTAATTGTCTCAATATATAACATTTACTTTACAGCATAGTTCTCGAAGTATAATAGCGCAAGTAAACTGAGAAGTTGTTGATGGAATGACGAGAATCAACGACCTTTATGAAAAGATATTGCAACCTATTTGGATTTTTAAGCAGATCCCACGGTAACGCACCATAAATTCGTGTGCTTATCTGTTACGTATTTTCTCCCATCATTTAGTGACTCAGTTAATGAGGCATTATTCTCTTCATTCATTGCATGCAGTCAAGACATATTTTTTAATCGATGGAGGCAATTTTTCGCAAATTGATGGATTCAATCATCGAAGCTGTTCAGGAGAACTAATGGTGCATGACCAGATCAAATGATCTAGCAAAGGACTGAAAAAATGAACGGTTAAATGACAAAATGATACACCTTCACATTTATCTTGAAATATGCAGTGTGTTTTTAGTGCCCGAAGTAGAACTGCACTACTCTGCTACTGAATGCTGTTTTGAGAATATTACAAACGATCAAAAGTAACTTCATAATCGCATAGAAGAGTATGCAAGACGTGAATGTCACTAAGCAGTGATTTATAGCCAAGGATTATTTTGAAAAATGGTCGCTATTCCATCAACTTATACCTTATCAATGATGAATGATTGCTTCGCTGGATCTGTCGCGTTACACGCTCAATGATTTTTGCTTTTCCATTTAAAAAAATCACAAAATTTTACATGCACTCTATGTATTTATTCGTTATCAATTACATTTTGGTAACCACATACAAATTGACATTCACTACAAGGCAAATGCTGTTCTCTGGACTCACAAAATCCATTACGATCCAGGAGTATGAGTATCTTATTCGCTTTTGCAACTATACGAGTAATCAAACGAAAATGTTGCTTTATCTTACTTGCTGTGACATAACTAACTGAAACACACACACAACTGAAGATCAACAGTATCAGTAAAGCATTCAGTTTGCGTTGCAAACATTTGCATAGAAGCGGAATGAACTATGATTCGAATTAGTTGTAGTTTTTTTGAAAGTTTATAGGATCTTATTCTGATGAGATATTCGAAGATAACTGTTCCAAAGAAGAAGTGTGTTTTGAATGTCAAATGTCCATTCCAAATATTTTTTAAGAACTTAGATGGCCTTATTGCTTATCGAGCAACAATTTTGGGTATATACAAGCAATGAAATAGTTATTGTCAGTAGATGACTTTAGTATTGGAGCGAGCAGGAGATTGATTGATTTTCGAAACTGTTGCTTCTTGATTTCCGTTAACACTGTCTTCGAACAGTTTAAAAATTACAGTCACTGAATAAATGGAAATCCATGAACATTGATGTGTTTTAAAACAGCTGAAGTCTTTTAATCTTTCGTTTTTAAATTAATCTCCTCTCCATAATGTGTTTGAAATGCGCTTTGGTGTCGAATACATTCGTGCAGAATCCATTTCATGACAGAAATAATAACGGTTTTGAAC